CTCTCTTTTTTTAAATTAAAAAACATTTTTTTTTTTCTTTATTGATTTTACAGAGAAGAAAGGAGAGAGGGAGAGAGATAGAAACATTGATGCGCGAGAACACTGATTGGCGCCTCCTGCATGCCCCCCACTGGGGATCAGGCCCACAACCTGGGCATGTGCCCTGACTGGGAATCAAACTGGCGACCTCTTGGTGCCTGGGGCAACGCTCAACCACTGAGCCACACTGGTCGGGCCCTAGCCTGTCTCTCTACCTCGTCTCTCAAGCTCAGTGTCTTCTTCTACATCGTTGGTAGAAGAGGAAAAGAAATACACGAGGGAAAAATCCTCTCCTAATTCAACAGCTCTAAGAAAGAAATATTAATATCCCAGCAAATATCTTTGCCATCTTTTCCAGATGCACAGCTTTCCCACGTATTTCTAGTTATGTTCTCTTCGAGTACAGAAAATACTGTATCCTCGACTTTATTTCACTTAGCACAAGAATTTTCCCAAATTAAAAAAACAAAAACAAAAACAATTAGCTATGAACTACATTTCACTAACAAATTAGGAGCTGATCCAGTGTACCATGTCCTGTCTCCTATCCCTGGGTACTTGGGCTGGCTCCAGGTTTCCACCAGTGCAAATGTTCTGTTGTAAACAATTTTATCTGCATAACCAGCTCCCCTGTTACTGAGGATAGGGCTCCAGCAGGTAAGATGACCACTGGAAAGGCATAACAATTTGAAAAATTTTTATTATTGAGATATATCACATGTATGCCATTGGTGCATCCCAATGGGCAGCATGTAGAGGGCTTGATTCAACACACATCTGACAAAATGGGGTTTACCCTGTGCTATTAGTTTCCTATAACCTCATCTTTTTCTTTCCTGTATCTGCAAAATAGAGAGAAGGGTGCACCCTTCTCCCCAGTGCCTCCTTTTGCTTTTTAAAATTAATGTCGGAGGGACTATTTTCACAGTGACCCAGTTTTGCAACCTCAGACTTACCTCCATGGCTGACCAGATATGGGGGACAAAGAAATGAGAGAAATAAAAACTGTGTGGAGTTTTTCTTTGAAAAGTCTCAAGATTTGGGCCATTTCTTTCCATTTGATGTTTCCCTCTCCAACGCTTCTACAACTCCCCGGAGGCCTCCTGGGTTCCTTTTCCATTCTCTCTTGTTCGCCCGACACTGATGTCAGGCAACTCTTTCCTAAACACTAAGCATATTAGGCAATTGTCCGATAGATACAGTTTCGACAGTTCTGCATTTCTTATATAAATCCTTTGCCTGGCTCTCAACCTCCAACAGCTACATATCAGCAAGTCAGCCTTATCTTTCCTGGCCCTTCTCCCCATTAACTTCATCTTCACACTGTCCCCTGCCTCTCCAAAGAAGTTGGCTGAAGGGACATGCACTTGGCACTTACCTTTTTATTTAATCCTCACCCGAGGACATTTTTTCCATATTTTGTTCAGATAGAGTGGGAGGGAGGAAGGGAGGGAGAGAGAGATAAAGAGAGAGAGAGAGAGAGAGAGAGAGAGAGAGAGAGAGAGAAACATCGATGTGAAAGGGACACATCGACTGGCTGCCACCCGCACGACTCAACCAGAACCAGGGACAGACTGCAATTGAGGTACGTGCCCTTAGCGGGAACCGAACCCGGGTCTGTCTGGACCACAGGCCGTCGCTCTAACCACTGAGTCAAACCAGCCAGGGAAGCACTTATCTTTTATAGAGACAGAACTTGCCATGTATGTCATGATTCAGAAGGTACCCCAGGACCTTCCAGCACTTCTCACTGTAATGTCAATTTGTGAAATGGCTAATAATAAAGGTTTCCAATGGCTGGTATTTTGGAAATGATAGCTGATTCTGAATTCCTGATCTCAAGCTATCACCACAGGAGCATAGAACTTGACCTTGAGTTTGATCAAGAATGAGGACCCTGGATTCTGAGACGATTTAGTCTTTACAGTCATTGTGTAATCTATGGTTAGTAGAATCACAGCCCTTTAAAATTCTGGCTTTGTGGCCAGAACTTGCATTTCCTTTCTAGCCCAACTGTGCCGTATTGAGCTTTCTCAGCTGGTAGTTGCTTTGCTTTCAAGGGAACGTTTAACTCAGACCTCTGCAAAAATGGAGTTCTCTTCTGTTGGCTGAGGAGCACGCAGGTCAAGTGGAATTTCTGGCACTTCATTACATTCCCTGACCTTCACTAAACAAACTTCACAATATATATATATTTGCAACAATTTGGAATAAACACGACATCCACGTGTTGATGGTAGATTTTCTGAAGAACTACCAAATGCATCAGGACTAAGGAAAACATTCTAATGATTCTTTCAAACATGAATATATTTAAATTCTCGTTAAACAATCTTCTTATTTAGTCGTTTCAGGCTTTGATGGCATGCCATGGTTGGCTGTTTATCAAAAACTTAGCAAGAAATGCTTAACAAGATATAATCTTGTGCACACACTTGTGCATAATTAAACCCAGCTTATAAATCAGGGCACAGTGGAATATGGTCACACCACTCAAGAAAGGTGGGTGGTGAGCAAATAACACTTTTCTCTCTATCTATAATGAAAAATCTTCTAATGTGAATGCTGTGAAGGTGATATAATAATCTGATCTTAAATCTTAGTTAAAAACATCTACTTCCATCTCTACTGAACTGAATGAAAGTCCTAACAAAATCAGGAAACTAATTTAGACATAAAAACACAACCAGGCATTAATTGTTCACACTGAAATTGTGTGGCGTGAAGGTGAAGGATTCTCCTCCTTCGAAGGTTTTTAATTGGATGGATTCTCATCTGTGTGTTTTCTTTTTTTCAAAGAAGGATTTAGCTGATTCTCAGTTTCTTTATTTTATAGCTGTTATTTCAGTTGGGAAAAAGGATTAATTGAGACTGAGTAATTGATATTTCTCAGGATCTATAAGATTAGGTGTTGCACAGCATTAAAGGGTATACTTTTCCATTTATTTTATGACTTTGTCTAGTTAAAGTTACTGAGATAAGCACGCCAGTATTTACTTGTAACTTGAAACCCCCTTCCTGGTGTGACTGGACCCTATGGGAAAAGAATTAACATTTGAGGAATGCTTACCTTGTGCCAGGCATTTTATATGCATTATCTCATTTAATTCTCATAACCACAAGATATGCTTGATATTATTTAATATGATTTTACGTGCCTGAGATTATAAAGGGAGTAAAGTATAGAACAAGGATCTGACTCTAGATTATCTATTTCGTTAAAGCGCAAGATCCTTTCGTTAAATCACAATGGGTTTCCCACTGTAGCCAGTAGGTGGAGGTGACAAGAAAGGACATTCCAACAACAAGGGGTCTTCTGGACTTTGACACAGGTGCCCTTTCATGAGTAAAATAAGAAAGAAACTAATATGATGAATCAGATAAAAACATGTTCCCTAATGCAGGGACTGGTTAAGCGAATTACAAGCTATCCATACCATGGAATACTATGTCGTCATTAGAAAAAATCAGATAAGTCTGTTTAATGAAATGTAAGGCTTTCCATGAGTTGCAAAGTAGTTGCAGAACAATAAGCGCTACTTGATGTATTTTGACACAATTCAACCACTACACACACGTTTGCATGTGCTCAGACACAGGTCTGCAAGGACATTTATTAAAATGTTAGTTACTTCTGCTCAGCAGGCTAATTTCTAGTAGGCAAATTTCACTTTTAAATCAAATATTCACCACTGTTGTTTAATATTTTTGTGTGTGCGCAATTGCATGTATTACATTTACAGTTAAAATTCACGAAGTGAACTCATTGAATAATCTTCAGGAATGACCAGACCCAAGGCATGATGGGTGATAAAAGTGATGAAGGAACATTACTATATTCATATGATGGAAGCTAAACCTCATCACCTGTATTGAGTTCTGCGGTATCTGAGGAAGGCGTTACAGAGGGCAAATGAGTAACAGTCATTTCAAGCTTGACATGTCCAAAATAGACCTCTTCAGTCTGCAATTCCTATTCATCCTGCTCCTCCTCCAGCCTCACCTATCTGTGTAGCACTACCATTTCTGCATTTGCTCAAGCCCAAGACCTAAGAGGGACACTCAATTTCTCCTCTCCCTTCTCCACTGCATCCCAACCAGGCACAGCTGGACCCTCCTGCCCAACACCTCTCCAAGGGCTCCACTAAGGCACCATAACCTTTTGCCTGGACTACTAGGGTTGACTCCTAACAGGTGTCCGTGCTTTCACTTTTGCAATCCATTCTCCACATGGCAGCCGGGGTGATCTTTTATGTTCCCTCAATTTAGCATTCTTTGTGGTTCTGCATTGTATTTACAATGGAATACAAATGTCTTACTGTGGATCAAGAAACCCTATATGATCTGACACTCATTTAACATTTGGGACCCCGACTCCCACCACCATCTCCCTAGTTCATTAGGCTGGAGCATCCTGGCCTGCTTTGCAAACACAACTAGCTCTTTGGGTCCTCTGGGTTTTCACACTCGTTTCTCTCTGCTTGGAATACACTTCTCTTAGTTGTTTACAGGGACAGCAACTTAATAACCTGAGTCAATGTTTTACAGGTGAGGAAATAAAATTTCAGAGAGTTTAAGTGACTAATTTGTGGTTCTAGTACTTGGTACATGGCAGGGCTAGGTTTCAAACTCATGCCTGAAACATCTCATGCTCTTACGTTATACTGTATAACAAACTAATGACGCCTCATCCCAGGGCTCTGGCTACAGTTCTGACCACCAATCAGCAAGGATCTATTTTTTGAAAAGGCCAGGAAAAACAACTTCATTCAGAATTTCCTTTTGTAGCGTCTCCTTTCTACTATTAGTACATTCTCAAACTTCTGCAGACTCATATCAGCGAGAGGAGACAATTTGAGACAGATGCCTTTGGAAACGCGTGTTTGAGAGACCTGAAATTAAATATTGTTCAAGTAGGAAATGAGTACATGATGACACAACCAGAAACCTTTCCAACTTACTTAGTCAGATGTCCAAAGAGGACTCTCATGGTGTCACGATTTGGTGGAGGGAGTTTTTGTACAAGAGATCTCATAGTTTCAATCCTTGTGTTGTTGTCTTGCTTTTCTGAAAAAAATAAGAAATAAAAACAAAGGTTAGAAAAAAATAAGATTTTATTAGTACATGAGGTAATTCTCTTAGGAGAGTTTTGTCCTGACCAGGAATCCAACCGGTGACCTCTTGGTGCAGGGGTCGACTTAACCACTGACCCACACCGGCCAGACTCTTAGGAAAGTTTTGGACTAAGAATTAGTAGCTTAAAGTCCTACTTAGTGGCCAAAGGGACTAGGTGTACTCAACACTGTCATGGAGTTTCTTCATTTTGACTCTGAATTAGGTCGTGGCCACGTGACAAAGATGGGCCACTAAGACTTGAGTGGAAGTGTTCTGTGGGACTCCTGGGGAGGTCATGTATAGCACATGCTGATTTAGCTACTAATCAAATCTTACAGGTGTTTTACTATTATACAAGGCATGGTCAGATGAATAATGAACTTCCAAAGATGTCCATGTCCTAATCTCTGGAACCCGTAAATAAGTTACTTTTCATGGCAAGAAGGATGCTGCCCATGTGATTAAATTAGGTGTAATTTGATGGGGAGATTCTGCAGGATGATCGAGGTGGGCCCAGTGTAATCACAAAGGTGGTGAAGAAGGAAACGAGAGGATTGGAGCAGAGAGACAGTGATGTGACACAGTGAGCAGAGAGAAGTGGCTGTGTGATGAAGGGCCCAGGCCGAGGCGTGGACAGCCTCTGGACACCGGGCAAAGAAAGGAAACGGAGCTTCCGGAACGTTAGAGAATAAATTTGTGTTGTGTGAAGCCACTGAGTTTGTGGCCCTTTGTTACAGCAAGAAGAGGAAACTAACACACAAGTGCACACATTGCCATTCGATTACCAATATTCTGTGGTTTGCTTGATTTTTGTGGAAGAGTAAAAACACTTTTAATACTTCTATACTATCCTGTCTCTGTAACACATTTTGTTTTTGCTCTAAATTAGGAAAGTACAAAAGCAAAAATTGAAAGTATAAAACAGTCATATACCTTTTTAAAACATTAAGTTCTTCCAAACTGCATGCCACATGAACTGCTTTTCTTTGTTTTGGTTCCTTTTTACGTTTATGTGCTTGGATGGCATAATAAAAACTAAGTTACTCTCTGGCCGGTTTGGCTCAGCCTGCAGTCGAGAAAGGCCCGGGTTCAGTTCCCGCTAAGGGCACATATTTTGGTTGCAGTTTGTCCGAGGCCCTGGTTGGGTTGTGTGGGAGGCAGCCACTTGATGTGTCCCTTTTACGTCGATGTTTCTCTCTCTCTCTCTCTCTCTCTCTCTCTCTCTCTCTCTCTCTCTCTCCCTCTCTCCCCCTCCCACTCTGTCTGAACAAAAAAATGGAAAAATGTCCTCGGGTGAGGATAAAAAACAACAACAACAAAGTTACTACATGCTCTAGAGAATTCATCTTACCATAGTTTTAACCAGTGCACAGAATTATAATTATTTATTGAACTTAAATATTTTCTGTACTATTTTCTTTTTGTTAATCCTCACCCAAGGATATATTTTTTTTCCCATTGATTTTTAGAGAGAGTGGAAGGGAGGGAGAGAGAAAGGGAGAAAGAGAGCGAGAAAAACATCCATGTGAGAGAGACCCACCAATTGGCTGCCTCCTGCACGACTCCAACAGGGACAGGGGATGGAAACTGCAACCCAGATACATGCCCTTGACGGGAATTGAACCCGAGACCTTCCAGTCCCTGGGCCAATGCTCCAATCGCTGAGCCAAACTGCTAGGGCAGCATTTTCTATACATTTTTCTTTTTTTTTTTTCTTTATTGATTTTAGAGAGAAAAGAAGGGAGAGGGAGAGAGAGATAGAAACATCAATGAGAGAGAATATCGATTGGCCGCCTCCTGCATGCCCCTCACTGGGGATTTGGCCCACAACCTGGGCATGTGCTCTGACTGGGAATCAAACCGGTGACCTTTTGGTACATGGGTTGAGCTCAACCACTGAACCACACCAGCTGGGCGCATTTTCTATATTTTTATCTCTAACTTCTAGCACGGAGCTCTAGATGACCCTGAGATGATGTATAAGAGAATAACATGTAAGACAACACCCACCCAATATCCACTCCCTTCGTCGTTAGCAAGACAATCCCAGTGTGGAGGGAATGGCCACAGACCCAGTTGAAAGAGTTCATTTGCCAGCTTCCTTGGCAGCTGGAGTGGCCATGTGACTAAGATTGGCCATTGAGGCTTAAGTCAATGTGGGGCTTCTGGGAGGGCATGCAGAGGGTGCTGACCTCTGCTCTTCAGCATGTAGATGGAACGGTGATAGCAGGAGACGACGTTGAGAACAGAGGCAGAGCAGATCGGGGTGCAGAGCAGATCGGGGCGCACAGCTAGCAGGTGCTCCCTGAATCTGTGCAGCAGCGACACTGCCCCATTCTGTCTGCCTCTGAGTTTCATGAGCATAAGAAACTAAGCCTCAGTGTACTGACGCCTTTATGAATGTTTCTCTGACACTAACACCAAACATAGTTAATCATATGATGTACTTCCTAAAGGCCACTTTGTAATCACCTGCTACTAGGTAGGTAACTTCATAAAGTGAAGTAAGAGTTCAGAAACTGAAGAGTTTTTTCAAATTACTGTTACAAAAAACAACAAAACCCCACTTTTTATAAGAATTTATAGGAAAAATATCCTGTAGAAGATGGTATTTGGCTAAAGTGGGATGGGGCAGTCTTCCTAGTAGAACTGTGCTTGGAAGCTTTTATTCTTCCTCCTCCTAAAACCACAAAGGCCTGTAAATAATCCCTCCCACAATTACAGCTTTCAAAATTGCAGTTATTCTTAGAAGAGTTCCAACATAATATGGATTGGACAACTGCCATGAAAGAGACAAAGGGGAGAGAGAGAGAAAGAAAAAAAGAAAAGCCACTTGCAATATCATAGAAGACAACAGATCTAATCTTTTTGCCAAAAGGGTAGAAAGCATCCTTGTAGCTCAATGATGTTAAGACAATGTGATGCTTCGTAAGACCAGTTGGAGTCAATGGGACACCAGAAACTCAGGAAAAGTACTAACACAAGTCAGTAACCATGATCATAAAATTGGTACAGTATGTCCAGGAAAGAGCTCTTAGGGACACTTGGATACCTTGTGTCTAGCATTCTGAACCTAATGCTACACACGGGTAATTATGTGCAAAAATATATAAGCCATGCTAGTAATAGAATTTACCTGAGGATCTGTTGACCCTCTTGGTTCAGGCAATAAAGATGGTAGTAGAACAGGTGGTAACAGTAGTCTCTAAACCTATCGTGACGGTGCTGAATAAAGTATGCCTATTATTAAAAAAAAAAAAAAAAAGTCCAGCCTGAATGGCTCAGTGGATTGACCATCATCCCATGGACTGAGAGGTCCGGGTTTGATTTTGTCAGGGCACATGCCCAGGTTGCAAGCTTGATCCCCAGTGTGGGGCGTGCAGGAGGCAGCAGATTGATGTTTCTTTCTCATATTGATGTTTCTCTCTCTCTCTTCTTCTCTCTAAAAAAAATCAATAAAAACATATTTTAAAAAATGTAAAAGTATGCTTTACTGTTTAAAAAAAGTGAAAAAAGGTATTAGAGGGGAGAAGAAGGGAGGGGAGGAGAGACCTTTCTAAATTTACCAAAATCTCTGGCCATAGTAATGATCAAGTCAATGTTAGAATCTCCAAAAAAGAGATCAGCTGACATTGAGAACTACAGATGTAGCAGCCATAGATTAGGCTGGGAACATAGGATGCTGTCAAGGGTGAGATTCAGAAAGGTGGGGGTTGCTTAATTGGAAATATATGAATTTGCAAGGTCCCTGCCATGGTGCTTGGGCAGCAATGAAAACTTTACTAAGTCTATTTAACCACTAGGTAAAATAATTATGAATTTCCTTTAGACAGAGTCAGTTCTCCGTCTCTGCTCCATTGTTCTTAGGACATTCTATTTATATGATATTCCACACAATACTGCCACGGCTTGAAGCAACCCATGTGCCCATCAGTAGACGAGTGGATAAAGAAGTGGTGGTACGTATATACAATAAAATATTACTTGGCCATAAAAAGAATGGAATCTTACCTTTTGCAACAACATGAATGGACCTAGAGGATATACTAAGTAAAATAAGTCCATCAGAGAAAGACAAATACCATATGATTTCACTTATGTATGCAATCTATAGAGCAACATAAATGAACAGACAAAACAGAAGCAGACTCATAGATACAGAGAAGAGACTGATGGTTGCCAGAGGGGAGGAGTTGGAGGGCTGGGTGAAAAAGGTGAAGGGATTGACAAGTACAGATTGGTAGTTATGAAACATTCACGGGGATGTAAAGTACAGCATAGGAAATATAGTCAATGATATTGTAATAATTATCTATGGTGCCAGTTGCATACTAGGAATATTGGGGGGACCATTTTGTAAAGTATATGATTGTCTAACCACTGAGCTGTACACTTGAAACTAATACAAAATAATACAAAATAATATTGAATGCAAAATGCAACTGGAACCATACATAATTATTACAATATACCATACACCAAAGAACTTATATGCATGCTTACGTAACCAGCGGACATAGACAACAATGCTGGGGGAGGGGGGAAGATTGGGAGGAGGGTGTCTGGGGGAAAAAGGAGAAGCATCTGTAACAAAACTAAATTAATAAAAATTGCAAAAAATTTTTTTTTAATTAAAAAATTAAAAATGGCATGGCTTGATTGCCTACTAATTTCTCCCATTAGACTGGGACTTTTCCTGGAAAGCTCAGAAGCTCTTACAAGGGCATACAATGTTTTAAATAAACGAAGAAAGAGTAAGTGAACAGATAAAAGACATGAACATGGGTTGGAATAGACAGAACTCGGTTTGAATTCTGTAACAGCTTTTATTAGCTGGTCTTGGACAGGTTTCTTATTTTCTCTGAATAATATCTAAGAGGACAGTTTTATGGATTAAACAAGATAGTATGTAATGTACCCAGCACAATGACTAGCAAAAAGTAAGTAGTTCA